TGTGTGCTAGTAATCTACAAGTCTAGCTTTTGACTGCTTACTCTTGATAATGGGTCCAATTCCTCCCTTCTTCATGTCTTTTAATTTTAAAAAATGTATTCTGTATTATGCATATAAGAACAGTGAGAAGTGTAATTTGTGTCTGTTCAGAAATGACATGCCTTTCATTCTAGGTGGTTTAGGTGAGGGACTTACCCTTCCGAATCTCCCACAGGTTTACCTGAGCCAGAGGTGGGCAGAAGCTTTAATCAGATTCAGTTCACCTTCAGTTAGCCCAGTCCCTAACTTCCCATGCCTCATCTGCTAAGATACTGAGTGATTTGATCGTTTTAGTGTTTGAACTGGAATAAGCCTGTTTTACATAGTTCAGATTCATATTTGATTCCAGCCCTGGCAGTTAAGCGGGATGTGCAAAGCTGCATGAATTCTCTTCGCTTATGAGGCTCTCCTCCACTGCCACTTTCTTGGCAAAATTCCAGGGAAAGGGGGCAGAATTGTTGGGTCAAGTGCTTACTGCCCTTGCAGACCCATCTCACCAGCCCATAATGCTGTCAAAAGTTTGCCTGGTTTCCTCTTTCCTACCTACCTACCTACCTCTTTCCTACCTCTAAATCTCCCAGTCCATGGCAGCTCCGATTCTAACATACTAGCAGTCAAGGCAGGCATTTGCCCCAGGTATAGAAGCTGCTGCAGCCTCTGCTTATTTATGAAGAATTTATTGCTCTCTGGGATTTATTTCACCTAGATTTGATTGTATGTACTATTCTGCAGCAGCTCCAATAAAGAGTATGTTTATTTTAACCTGGAATTTTTCTAATGTTTCCACTGGATCAAAGTTCTTTCGTATTTTATATACTAACCAGAAGTAAAAGTCAATCTCACCATTTGTTTCTTTTTTTCTTTTTGCGGTACGCGGGCCTCTCACTGTTGTGGCCTCTCCCGTTGCGGAGCACAGGCTCCGGACGCGCAGGCTCAGCGGCCATGGCTCACGGGCCCAGCCGCTCCGCGGCATGTGGGATCTTCCCGGACCGGGACACGAACCCGTGTCCCCTGCATCGGCAGGCGGACTCTCAACCACTGCGCCACCAGGGAAGCCCTCACCATTTTTTTTTTTAATGAAACTTACTTTGGCTTTGAGTTCAAGATAGTGAACACATGCCTCTGTATCTTCTCCTCCAGTTTAAAGGAATAAACAGGTGACTATACCATCAAGATGTAGGGAATGGGGGGATCTATTATCAGACCAGAGATTTCAGCACACATCCAAAGACAAAATGGATAAAAGAGTATGAACTGGGTGGCAGAGAAAAGCAAGCACTAGCCTAGCAGCCTCCAGAATATGCTTCTGGGGAGGTGTGTCTGAGCTGTCCAGTACAACCCCAGAAAGGCTCTAGCATCAGAGACTGCTAGAAAATTAAGGAAGGAGCTGAGAAGTGGGGCTGATATTAGTATAATAATTGGAGGTCTTTATATTGACCAATTGCCCCTTTTCCCTATGCTTACATGCTTATAGCCAGGTGTCTACCCCCTTGACAAAATACGCACAGTCCTCTAAAGGGCATGTAGGTATATATACCCGAGTAAAACCTTCCTTTTCTTGGTATGTGGGAGTCCCCACAACATAAAATCTGGTTTAGAGCTGAGTTTGAGACCCAACTTCTTATCCATAGATGTGTCATGTGGGGAAAGTTACTTAAGTTCATTGCCTCAGTTTCCTCATTCATAAAATAAAAGTACATCCATCACAAAAGGTGGTTGTGAGGGTTTAATGAAATCATGTATACACAAGTGGTTAGCACAGTGCCTAGAACATAAAAAACATTCAACAGATGATAGCCATTGTCATTTTTATTGTTATTGATGAATTAGTTTTATGTAGAAAGGAGGAAAGGAATCCAAAGGTTAGGTTTTGGAAAGAGTAGTATCTCTTCTAATTAGATAGCAGAGAAATAGGTGAGAATGCATATGAATGCATGGGGATGTAGATTACAAATCAAAATCCTCACCCCACTTTCCTTACCAATACCTAGTTGTGTAGAACAAGAAATCAATATGTATAAGGACTCCAAAGAACCTAGAAATATCTATTATAAAACTGCATTAAAACAGTACCCACCTGAAGTTCCATATATATTCAAACAAAATTATTTTTTTAGCGAAAATTCATCGTGCTATTTGTGTTTCCAGGACATAAGACAAAGGATTTTTTTTTCTTTTTAATATAGAGTATCATTAACATCCAAAATTGTGTCCAAAGAATCTTCAGTGTTCTGCAGTAAGGAGAACAAAGGACCTAGTGCAATATTAAAATTGCTTTGAAGTCTTGTGATTTACACTAAAAATTAATGCAAATATTGCTCAGTACATTGGTATGTTTTAATATAAAAATATTTTTACTTCACATGGAGTAAATATTGCTGATCTAGGGAGATATGCCATGTTTCTCACTGACCCTGCCACACTGATTTAAGACAGATCAAGATTTTTAGGTCCAGACCAAACAGTAACAACAGAATTTTACTAAACTTGTCTACTTACTCTACTTATTATAAGTTCATACATAAAAAAAAAAAATACTGTGAGCTCATCACACAAGATGATTGGCCAATTTGATTTTTAAATCAATCAAAAGGGTTTTTACAAATTAATATTAAAGAAAGCTTAGTGATTAGCCTACAGATTTCAATTTTGAATCATCTTTGGTCTAAGTAATATTTCCTAAAAAGCATAAATGTAAATTACTTTATCAACAAAATAGTTGCTCAGAACAATTGTTGCTTAAATTTCATTGTATCATACTGTACACCTATGTGTTGCAACTAGTAAGGATACTCCAAAGCTGATATAATTTTAGTTTCCCTAACTTGTCCTGAACCTGCTTATGTTCACAGGCCCATTTTTTTATGATTTTACAGTCTAGTTGTCAGTGACAGGCACAGCCAAATTCTTTCTTTGTTCATCTGTCAGACTTTCTTTCAATAATTTCTATTTGTGATAAATCTCCAACCTGTCTATATGTTTCTAATGGGAAATCAATGAAAGATTCAACCTTAATCATATTGCAGACATGATGTAAAGGGACTCAACCCACAAAAAGCCACTTTTTGGTGACTGATATCAGCTATGTTTTCATTCAAACTTAAAGTTTTTCCTTCCCTAATCTTGATCCTATGGCTGTTTAACTACACATGTGATATTAGTTTTCCTTTCACTGATTCTGTAACTGTCTTTGGTAATTATTAATTTAATGAGGATCTTGAAATAATATCCACTTAAGGTAAAACTGTCAAGAAAATGTAATAATTTACAATCAAGTTATTCCAATTTCTCATTAGGAGTCTAAATTCATTCACTCAGTCAAAAATATTTTTTAAATAATAAGAATTATAGGCAAGGCACTCTTCTGGGTAATTGTGTACCAGAAATACCAAGATGTGAAAGCGTCTGCCTGAAAAGAGATGACAGTCTAGTAACTTCCCAACAGAGGAGATGTTCAAAAGTACTGACAGATCTAACTCCTTTGAGCACTTACTATCAAATATACTTAATCACATGCTTAAAATTAAGCCATTTCCTTTTGGCATACATAATATTAACTATCACATCACCTGTGGAAAGGTAATGTAGAACATTATTTTGAAAGAGACTATGCTCTAAATGTGAAAGGATACCAATAAAAAATGCAGTATCCCAAACAGCAAATATATTCAAGCCAAGATTTACAAACAAAATGTACAGTTACAAATAGACTTTAGTGAAGATTTTACTCCAAAAAAATTCTACCCACTAATGCATTAAATATAAATGCATTTGAATTAGCAATGTAACTTTTAAAAAGTATGTAGTTTATGAAAAGTGTTCATAAAAATGGTTTTCTGAAAAAGGTCTTGTCTATAGAATTTCATATTTATTAAGAAGAGTGAGATAGAAAGCTATGCAAAGATAAATCCAAATATCCCAAAAGAGTTTAGTCAGAGCAAATTAAAGTTTTGCATGAAATAATAGCATAACTGAAAAATTATAAGAACAAGAACTTGACTCCTTAATTTATCACATAACAGTGTATATTTTTTAAAAAGATGTTTTTAGAGGGGAGTCTTTTATGGTTTTAGCAAGGTATCATATAAGGAAACAAATTAAGTCAACATTATGTTGAAAAACATCTCCATGTTATCTCTTTTTAGTGGAATAGTAAAATTTTGCCCTAACATAAATTCTATCACTTCAAGTAACTCCTTCCTAAACATATATAAAATGGAAGCCATAAGAAAATTAGTCTCATTGTCAGGTCTGTTTTTTAATCTTTAGGTAAAAATAACCAATCAATTTAGCCTTCCTGTAATATTCCTTCTCCATACTATCATTTATCATACTTGAATGTTTGTTTTTAAATAGGCATCTTTAATTTAGGATGCCATCTCCTAAGAGTCATTTATAGTGTCTTATTTGTTTGGGTAGGAGAATTCATCAAACTTAGTAAATAGGCTCAAGTCACATTTTTAGCCCAGACCTTTTTTGGTTGTACTTTATAGAAAATATTAATCAACATATTAGCTTTGTGGCTGTAAAAATGTCTGCTACCTTTTGAATGTGATTTTTAGTAAAATCTTAGTATCACTTTATAAAGAATGCAGGACAAACTTTTATGTTTGGCTTTCTCAGAGTAAAGAGATACACTTTAGTTAAAGCTAATTGGCTTAATACTGGCTCAGAATTTAAAAGATGATTTTACTTAACGTTAATTAAACTGTGTTTTGTAGCTGTAAGCTCATAATTTTAACACTTGGCTTGTCTGCTACACTATTTTTGAATAGTAATGAAACACTATATACTATTTCATTTAGATGATGTTTATATAAATATTTAACCAAATATTGGAAAATTTTAAATCAACCTGCTACTAACCATGAACTCTAATACTTGGACATTTTTTATGACTCTCTCTCTTAATACACTAAAACATTCAATAACTGTTATTTGCACATTATGTGAAAAATTAATTTTTGACAAAATTTTATTCAGAACATTAGGAAAATCATACTCAAAACGCAGAAATAATCAGACTCTATATAACAACGCTGCATAGATAGTGGTATACAAGTTCCCTGACGCTAAGTGACTTCTTCCTAACTAAATCTTCAAGTCACCAGGTAGAAGATGGTAGAGGCATCATTTCCTCTCTCTGAGGCTGGAAAAAATGGCTTTATAAGGTGAGGCGTCACACCATTTAAACAACAAAGATTAGATTATCCCCCAATTTAATTCTATGCCCTTCTTGTTATTTCTCAGAGATGAAAACTTAGAATGTAAGGATTATTGGAAGGGAATAGGAGGTAAATTACCTCTTAGGAGATACCCTGATCCATGCCTGCTTTAATCTGAGAAAACACTGAATTTTTAAAAATTACAACCACACCATTATGCTTAAGTAAAATTGCCAATATGAATACTTTTTTACATAATACATTACATGTATACATGAAGAAAAATGACTTGTTTCCAATCCTTTGACCTTCAGTAGAAAAAAGTGTTACCACTAATGGGGATCTGAAAAATAGTTTTCATGACAGAGCATTAACTCTATAGAGATCAAAATCATTTCTCAGTACTGAAAACAGCCTAAATCAATGACAAAAATCAATGACAAATGGCTAAATTTCTTAAGATTACTTTTTGAAAGGGAAGACAATTTATTTGGAAGGAATTTGTAGCTGGAAACATTGTTCATTAAGAAAACACTGTTACCCTGAGAAAGACTTAAAACTGCCAGTGCTTTCAGAGGCCCCTAACAATGCATGAAGGAGCAATTTGTAGGCTCTAGCTTCTTACAGTTACCTATATGAAGAATGTCTGTCTTGACCTAAACAGTGATTGATTTGGGCTTCTCTCTGATACCGATAACAGGTCATAGCCAAGTAACTAAATGTGATGGACTACAAGCAAATTTTGCATTCATTTTAAGCAGACTTCTTCCTTTTCCCTTTTCTAAGAGAAAGCTTGTAATTCTTCAAATGGCCTTGAACTCAAACCTACTGTTCACAAAAAATAATCTTCTGTAAGCAAATTGGTAGTTTTCTTACAATAGTAAACAAATTGTCTGGTTTACATTCTTTAATCTATGCCTAGAAAATAAGGCATTAGTAATTCTTCATTGGCTACTGCAGACCAGAGTGTCTTCTTTCTAATCAGAGGCATATGCAAACATTCCTCAAAGTGCATTGTTATTATTTTTAACATCTCTTATGCATTTACAAAGTCAACATTTGTGACTCCCTACATATTTTTAGTATAAAATAATGCTTATTCCCAACACCTTACATATACCATAATTACTGGAGAAAAGACAAAATGAGAGCAGCTACAGAAGTAACAAGATATTTTTTACAAATAAAAATACAATATGCAAAAAATGGCAAGTTAGTGATAACTGGTAGAATGAACTCTCAACAATATTCCACTTTGGGTTCCAAATTAAGATTTGACAAGTTTGAAGCCTTGTCCTGTGTCCAGCACGGTAGGAAGAAACCAACTCATTTTTAATCTTTTCAAGCACCTAAAACAAGTTTTGCAGATCCAAAAAAGGTTCAGACCACACAACCAATTTGCCAAATGCACTAGTGGGTATGTAATACGAGGAAAGTACATCCAGTGCTTGGCCACATCGCTTCCCGTTGGCAAATGCAGAGTGTAGTCACTCCACCGTTTTGACACGCCATACACTGCTTTCACTGTGCGTCCCTTTTCAGTCCAGCAGATGTTATTAGTGGAGTTGCAGTTATATTCTACCCAGTCTTTTGTAAAGTCACCCAGCTGCGGTGGGTCAGCTTCTTCAATATCTATTGTTTTTGTCATCTCTGCTCCTTGCACTGCAATATACTGGTCATTGATTTTTCTCACTTCTTTAACCCAGGGGGTTGAATTCTCACTGTCTAATATGATAATAAGTCGGGAACAGAAAGAACCATTCTTTTCTCGCCACCATTCTACAAGTGTGTCAAGGCGTAGTATGTCTCCACCTGTGAACAACAGAAAGTTCAGTAGAGCAAGAATTTCTGAAGTGTCTTACTAAGAATACTCTTTTGTCTTAAGTGTATTTTCTTTAAGTTCTTAAAATATGTAAGAAAAAAAAAAGATGGAGCCTTTTTTTCAAAGTATCTTTTTCAGAAGAATTTTTAAAAACAAAAAACAGACTTTCAGCTTCAGGTAAAAAATCAAACCAAAAATAAAAACACCCCCAACCCCCCAAATCATCCTGTTATTCACATTAAAGGGGTATGCTATGATAAAATAAGAAAATTATTTTATAAAGTTAAATTTAGTGAAAAAAATTAAAATTATACAGCAAAGCAAATATTCTACATCAGGGGCAGCAAATTATGGCTTGTGGTCAAATCCAGCCTGCCACTTGTTTTGCATAGCCTAAGAGCTAAGAACTGATTTTATATTTGTAAACGGTAAAAAAAAATTTTTTAAAGAGCAGAAGTTTGTGACATGTAAAAATTATAGGAAATTTATATTTCTATAAATAACATTCATTTATTTATATTCTGTCTATGGCTGCTTTTATACTACAATGGTAGAGCTAAGTAGTTGCAACAGGGACTTTATGGCCTGCCAAGCCAAAAATATCTGGTCCTTACAGAAAAAGTTGGCTCACCCCGTTCTACACTTCTAATAAATTAACTTATCTCCTCATATGTAGTTACCTACGAGATGAAAAACACCCTTCCTACCAGTAACAAGAATGAGTTTGGAATGGGTTTATTTTTAAATCAGTTTTATACCTGAACAACAATAAAGGATTAAAAAAACATATACCAGAAAGGTCTAAAGTAAATATATTTCTTTTTTTTTTTTTTTTTTTTTTTTTTTCAGCCATGGCTCACGGGCCCAGCCGCTCCGCGGCATGTGGGATCTTCCCCAAACGGGGCACGAACCCGCGTCTCCTGCATCGGCAGGCGGACTCTCAAGCACTGCGCCACCAGGGAAGCCCTGTAAATATATTTCTGATTTAGAAATATATCTTACAGCTAGTATTTACATGTGGTTCATTATGGATGGGTTTTTTTTTTGCATTAACTTTTGATTTTTAAATATATTGCATTAAAATGTTATCTTCATCATTTAATTTTTAGCACCCTCTTAAATTCTGAGCCCCAAGCAACTGCCATGCTCACCTCACCCTAGTCCTGGCTCTGTCTCAAATGGTACTCTAATCCAGTCATTCCAATTCTAGGAATTTACCCTAAGGAAAGGGCAGAAATGCAGACAAAACATTACATATAAAGCTCATCTTCCCACTGCTATCTAAGATAGTGTAAAATCTGAAACTACTGGGGGAACGGATATAAATTATGGTATAACCTTATGAGAAGAGGTTTATAATAAATGGTATTTATAAAGAAATTTTAATGACAAAAGTATCTGTGATATTAGAAAAAGCATGACACAGAAGTGTATCTACAAAAATAACAGCAGTAGTTATTTCCAGGTATTTGGATTTCAGGTGGTGTTTGTTATACTTCTTTATATGATCCAAAATTTTTATGTTGAATATATGTTACTTTTATAATTAGAAAAAAGTTTTAACATGCTACAATTTACTAATACAAGTTCCAACAACCTAACTTCAGAATATGTATTTTTAACAAGAGCAACCATGCTCTTTGCTAAACTATCAAAATGACAATACTGAAGAGATAGAGAATCCTTTAGAATTTGGATTCTATTAATAATATGACCTATAAAGTCAGGGTATATGACATTCTTTATGAATAATTAATATTCTTTTATTCATTAGCCTGCTGTATCTTAGACTGTGACAATGAAAAATTTGTTTCATGAACTGCTCTTACACTCATACCTATCAATCATCTCAGAGACACTATTTTTCACATATTATTAACATATTGCTTCACAAAGACCTCCAGGAGATATCTTTTTCTTTTTTTTTCTTTTTTTTTGCGGTACGTGGGCCTCTCACTGTTGTGGCCTCTCCTGTTGCGGAGCACAGGCTCAGTGGCCATGGCTCACGGGCCTAGCCGCTTCGCGGCATGTGGGATCTTCCCGGACCGGGGCACAAACCCATGTCCCCTGCATCAGCAAGCGGACTCTCAACCACTGTGCCACCAGGGAAGCCCCAGGAGATATCTTTTCAAATATGATCAAGCTCACTTTTCTTTATGGCCAGTTTTATTAAACTTCTCTGGAGATGACAAGACAACACAGATTACAAGAGTTATTATACAAACTGAATCTGCCACAAAACATCATTGTTCTAACTTGCCTGCATCATCGTTCTAACTTGCCTTCTACAATTATTTCAATAAATATTCTTCAGCACACTCTACACTAATTCTCTTATAAACATGCTCTTTAGATATCAGCAAGAAATTTAAAGCAGTATTAAAGCCCTTTATACTATTTCTCTTCTCGTTTTGTTTTGCTCTGCTTTCTCCCATGAACAGTTTCTATGTTGCATTTGGCTTCTGGCCCAGATGCAAAATATTTACATTTATCTCAGATAACAGCCATATGATTCAAGTAATCTAATTCAAGCCAACAGTTCAAGTAATTGAGACTGCTTTTTAAAGACTTTCTTTACCTGTCACAAACTGCTTTATAGGTTATCTACATTTTTTTATATATTTCTCTCTCTTGTCATTACCATAATTGTTTTTTACCCAAACAAACAGGCAAAAATATCAGGTTCTACATTATGGAGCCCCATAAATTTAAGAAGACTACATATTCTAAGAAGTACTAACAGTAAAGGTATGGGATAAAGGGCACATATAGATTCTCTTTCTCACAGTGATTTCTGGACCTACTCTTGCTGAAGTAAAATCAAGTCATGATGTTTCCTATTTAGATGTTTTTAGAAAAATACCTATTGATAAAGTTCAGTGCTTAGAGTTCTTTGTCACTTGGCTTGGAATGAATTAAAGCATTTTCTTCAGAGCAGGGGTGTTCAATACTACTTCTGAAATAGAATCAACCTTTGAGGGTTGTTTCAGGCAGGCCAAGGGCAGGAACTGACTGAAAAGAGGACTCATCCACTGAGCCAGGTGCCTCAGGCCGTGGGGGAGTATACAGTTGCTGAATTATTATGGGACAAAACCTAGCCTTCATGGGAAAGGGAAGGCCTGTCAAGCTATGCTTTCTCCATTATTTTTCCTATTTTTACAACAAAGACTCTCACAAAGAAAGTTACACATACACGAACAGATCTTCTGGCCTAACAGAAGAACTCTATAATGGTTAACTTATTGACATACTTTAAAAAATATTATAAAGATAACACTGCAGAATGTAACTGCTAGACATTTGCCTAAAATATTACCCTACTTTAGAGTTTGTGTTCATAAATTATTCCTTATTCACAGTGAATGAAAATTTAAGAACATTTTTATGCTATTTACCTTGGTGTCTATTACATTTCCTAAGAAATGAAAAAGCTAATATAAATATCAGTAAACTGAGAAGCAAGAAGAACTACAATCCTGCAGCCTGTGAAACAAAAACCACATTCACAGAATGACAAGATGAAAAGGCAGAGGGCTATGTACCAGATGAAGGAACAAGATAAAACCCCAGAAAAACAACTAAATGAAGTGGAGGTAGGCAACCTTCCAGAAAAAGAATTCAAAATAATGATAGTGAAGATGATCCAGGACCTCAGAAAAAGAACGGAGGCAAAGATCGAGAAGATGCAAGAAATGTTTAACAAAGACCTAGAAGAATTAAAGAACAAACAAACAGAGATGAACAATACAATAACTGAAATGAAAACTACACTAGAAGGAATCAATAGCAGAAGAACTGAGGCAGAAGAACGGATAACTAACCTGGAAGACAGAATGGTGGAATTCACTGCTATGGAACAGAATAAAGGAAAAAGAATGAAAAGAAATGAAGACAGCCTAAGAGACCTCTGGGGCAACATTAAATGCAACAACATTTGCATCATAGGGGTCCCAGAAGGAGAAAGAGAAAGGACCCGAGAAAATATCTGAAGAGATTATGGTCGAAAACTTCCCTAACATAGGAAAGGAAATAGCCACCCAAGTCCAGGAAGCGCAGAGAGTCCCATACAGGATAAACCCAAGGAAAAACAGGACGAGACACACAGTAATCAAATTGGCAAAAATTAAAGACAAAGAAAAATTATTGAAAGCAGCAAGGGAAAAACGAGAAATAACATACAAGGGAACTCCCATAAGGTTAACAGCTGATTTCTCTCTCAGCAGAAACTCTACAAGCCAGAAGGGAGTGGCATGATATACTTAAAGTGATGAAAGGGAAGAACCTACAACCAAGATTACTCTTCCCAGCAAGGATCTCATTCAGATTCAATGGATAAATTAAAGGCTTTACAGACAAGCAAAAGCTAAGAGAATTCAGCACCACCAAACCAGCTCTACAACAAATGCTAAAGTTACTTCTCTAGGCAGGAAACACCAGAGAAGGAAAAGACCTACAAAAACCAACCCCCCAAAGTTCAGAAAATGGTAATAGGAACATACATATCAATAATTATCTTAAATGTAAATGGCTTAGATGCTCCAACCAAAAGACACAGACTGGATGAATGGATACAAAAACAAGACCCATATATATGCTGTCTACAAGAGACCCACTTCAGACCTAGGGACACATACAGGCTGAAAGTGACGGGATGGAACAAGGTAGTCCATGCAAATAGAAATCAAAAGAAATCATATCAGATAAAATTGACTTTAAAATAAAGATTGTTACAAGAGACAAGGAAGGACACGACATAATGATCAAGGGATCAATCCAAGAAGAAGATATAACAACTGTAAATATTTACGCACCCAACATAGGAGCACCTCAATACATAAGGCAACTGCTAACGGCTATAAAAGAGGAAATTGACAGTAACACAGTAATAGTGGGGGACTTTAACACCTCACTTACACTAATGGACAGATCATCCAAACAGAAAATTAATAAGGAAACAAGCTTTAAATGACACAGTAGACCAGACAGATTT